AGCCCTCAATCACTGACAGATTTTGCTTGTAAAATACACATTTCCCCCAAGATTGCTCAACTCTGCTTTCCGCTGAACGTAGGCATTTCTAGTTGGGGAAGCTAATTTCTCTTCTCGTGTCCCAGAGTTCTTCCCGCCCAAATGATGAGACTTACAGATCAGGTGTTGGCTTCTGCGTAGCAGTGGATGCTGTTGAGGTGCAAACTATCTTCAGCAAAGTGGACCTTGACGCAGAGACGCTGCAATTAGAGGGTGGTTTTCGAGCTGCTGAAAAAAGAGGTGAAACGTAAATGTCAAACAAATGCCATCCTTGCAATCCAGCTGGCACCGCAGCGTTAATTAAAAGCTACCTGTGAAGTCCCAGACAGGCTTTCCTGCCTTTTTCTCCTCTCTGGTACAGAAAGAATTTCCTGACATTAGGGTGACGAAGGGAGGGCCGGCGTGGCGTTAGCGAGATGCGGCAGCACGCAGCAGCAGGTCAGCACGCGTCCCTGGGTGCACGATACCTGGTTGGGAGAGCCTAGCTCGTTTGCAGAGGCGGAAGGAAACGGGAAGCAGAAACCCACTTGTCAGACGCGGCTAACGGCAGGGCACTGTTGGCTGAGTGTGCCGCCCTACCGCCCGGCTGCTGCGAGGGTCGGGGTGTAAATGTAGCTGGATCAGGAATGAGAAGCTGTTTTGTGCCTGTTGCTTCTCTTGGGAGTTGCAGCCTTGGAGTAGGAGCCGAAGGGCACCACAGGGATCCATCAGTCCATCTCCCTGCCCCACAGCAGTCTCAAACATGTTGTTCCCCTCAAATTGTGTTTTTGCTGAAGTTGGCATCTCATACAGATGTTGAGAGCAGAGACTCTTGTTTTATCCAAGGCCTAAATCTTTCATCCAGCACGCAGGCTTGGAGGGAAACACCGGGGAGATACTTAGGGAGGAGATAAGAGTGACGGGGAGGAAACCCCCTTCCCTACCAGCTGCCTTTTCTCAAGGGCAGCAGTAGCCAGTGTGGGGCTTGTACGCATGGCCCGTCCTGCATTATTCCACACTCTGGGTAGCAGGTGGGAAAGGGCTGGCTCAGCCGCTTCCAAATGTCCGGCAGAAGGGCCTCAGAGGCAGCTCGCCGGTCTGTGCCGTGCAGGGGAGCCCCGTGCAGAGCTCGCCATTGGGAGCGTCCCCGTCCCAGCAGCCAACTCGGCCGTGCTCTCAGGAAACACTCTTCCCCTTTCAATGTTCCCTTCGCAGAGCTGCCTGACTACACCCTTGGCCTGCTGCGTGCCTGCTGTGACCTTCGGGTTGTCCCAGCCCTGTGTTGCTTGGTGAGTAATGGGAACGCGGCTGCGGAGCGCGCGGGCCCGGTGGCAGCAGCAACCGCGTGCTCGGCCTCACCGCGCATCTCGCCCCATGAAGTTGTCGGGCTCCGGCGGGAGTTTCGGCTGCGGGCG